GGGGCTGAAGAAGCCGACGAGTTCACGACTGGTTGCGATGATTTCGCTCCGTTCACCGCGCACCGCTGCGAACTCGCTAGAGAAAAAAGATACGTTTTCTCTCCTCTCCATATGAAAACTTAAGCCAAGAGCAGCTATGTGGAAGTAATAACATTCTATTGGTTTTATGGTTGTTATGTTGTATATTATGTATCACAGCCCTTAAATTTAACAGGTGAAAGTATGGTTGTTATGTTGTATATTATGTATCAACAAAATATTTTAACCGGTGGGCTGTAACAGTGTGGTGTAATATTAATTATAAACTCTTCTTGATTTTTTTATTTTGCATGCATTTTTTTGTAATTCTTATTAACTTTTTGAAGCTATATTTTGAATTATTTCTTCATGGGGAATTGGGAGTGCGTATTTGCTGCGTGACTGATATATTGTGCCATGATAAGGTACAATATTCTTATTATTGCTTTAAAGACTTGAACATCGTAAGCGAAAACGCTCTTATTCAAATAGACATTGCATGCACAATTACTGTTAATATGAACATGTTTATTCTCAGTTATTCGTAATAGTTAGCAAGCAACTTTCCTTATACTACCAAAATTGCAGAGGTTTCCGTACAAAATTACACACACTTTATATGAACATTTTAAACAGTAACTATGATATCATCGTACTTACCGAGACTTGGTTGATATCGGAAATTAGCAACAATGAGTTTATCGATCAACGCTAAATTGTGTACAGGTGCGATCGTGATCGTATCAGTACGAATAAACTAGATGGGGGTGGTGTCCTGATTGCGGTTTTGCGTACACTCAGATCATCCGAGTTAAACGTGTCTTTGACTCGTGTAAATTTTTCATTGCATAACTTTATCGAACATGTCATCATCGAAGTTCCTAGTAAGCATACCTCAAAGCGCCATGTCTTCAGTGCTGCTTACATACCCCCAAAAACACCCTCTACCGTATACGAACTTCATTTTGAAACTTTACAAGAGGTACTGTGTGATCCTGATGTCGAATGTTTCTATATTTTGGGCGACTACAATCTCCCAGATGTAACGTGGACACGAGGAACCACAGACGCTTTACATGGCAGTGGGGTGGGCTCATCCGTTACCAATAACCTATTATATAATTTAATCTCATTTCTAGATGCTGCGCAATACAACCACGTAGTGAATACTAAAAACAAAATACTTGATTTATGCATATCAAACCGCTCGTGTAAGGTATTGGCCGCGTTGAGTTTATTACTTCCTATTGACCCATATCATCCACCCTTTATCTGTGAAATAGCTCTCTATGTTGATATTGTTCTAATGAAAAGGCGGACGCTTCAGAGGTATAATTTTTATAAGTCCGACTACACGCACATCAACCGCAAAATACAGTCCACTAACTGGGATGAAATACTTACTCCCATGGGATCTGAAGAAGCACTTAGCGTATTTTATGGAATAATTGACGAAATTATCAAGCAACACATGCCGTTGGTTGGCTCCAGAACTTCTGCTTTTCCGATCTGGTTTTCGAAATCTTTAATTAGCACATTTAGAAAAAAACGTAAAGCGTGGGTGAAATGGAAGAAATATAACAACATATCAGACTATGAGATATTTTCCCAGTATAGAACGTTATTTAAGGATATGTGTAATAAATGTTTTTCTAGATATATTGGATCTGTCGAGGATAGCATACGCAAAAATATTAAGTATTTCTGGGTATATATTTCTAATCGTCGTGACAAACCTGGAATACCGGCTAAGGATGAATATAATGATGATGTTGCAAGTGATCCACAGACAATATGCAACATGTTTTCTGAATTCTTCTCTTCCGTTTATGAACCGCCCTCACCTACACTATCGCAGTGGAGGCAACCTGCCGATTCATCATCCCATGATACCACTATTACTGACCTTCATTTTGAAGTAGAAAAGGTATTAAGAGAGCTGAAATCTCAGGATCCATCTAAGGGGCCAGGCCCTGATGGCCTATCTGCTTATTTTCTAAGAAACACCGCCTCTGTTATATGTAAACCCCTAACCATCATCTATAATAAATGCATCACTGAAGGTGTTATGCCAACAGTATGGAAACATGCTTACATCACACCTGTACACAAGAGCGGATCTAAACGTAGTGTAGATGAATATCGCCCGATATCAAATTTATCCACCTTGTCGAAGCTCTTCGAGAGACTTGTGCATAACGAAATATATCCCATACTGCATAATATTATTATACAGCAACAGCATGGTTTCGTTAAACGTCGATCAACAGCCACCAATCTATTATTATTTTCCAGCTTCTTATTCGAAAATGTTGATAATCGCGTACAGGTTGATGCAGTATATACAGACTTTCGAAAGGCCTTCGATAAGGTGGACGACGAAATGTTATTAAATCGAATAGCTTACAATTGCATTCGGGGTAATCTTTTACGATGGTTTGTTTCTTATATCACTAACCGTTGTCAAAGGGTTGTAATCAATGGATACCACTCTAACGTTACGATGGTTACCTCCGGTGTACCTCAAGGATCTATTCTCGGTCCTCTGTTATTTGTAATGTTTATCAATGACATAAGTACCTGTTTTCTCAATTCTAAATTTCTATTATATGCAGATGATCTTAAAGTTTATAAATCTATCCATACTACACAAGACTGCATTCTTCTCCAAGAGGACCTAGATAGACTGACAGACTATTGTTACAAAAGTAAACTTCAGTTAAGTATTCCGAAGTGTAAATATCTCAGTATTACTAAAAACAAGAATATTATAAAATTTTCGTACTCACTGTGTAACATTCCTTTGGCTAAAGTGGATTCTATGCGAGACCTTGGTATATTGTTTGATTCAAAACTGTGCTTAGACTTACATATTGAACAAATTGTAAACAAAGCATACAAATTATATGGATTTATCATGAGATCAACTTGCGACTTCAAACGGACCTCCTCATATCTTTGTTTATATAAAACCCTAGTTCGCTCTCAACTTGAGTATGCTGTGCCTATTTGGAATCCTTACTATAATAAATATATACACAGAATTGAAAATGTTCAACGCCGGTTTCTACGTGCAATGCATTATAGATGTCATAAATCTTATCTACCATATGACCAGTTACTCAGTAGATACAAACTTCTAACCCTCGAATCTAGACGTAAGCAATTAGAGGCTATGACACTGTTCCATATAGTAAGATGCAAGTTTGACTGTATTGAGTTAAATAATGTGTTATGTTATGCGGTCCCCAGAACTGTCCATAGACGGCAGGTGCGTGCGGGTAAACTCTTTGCTGTAAGTGCCTGTCGATCCAATACCGGTATACGTTCACCGATTCGACGTATGGTTGCCACATACAATGAGACCTTCGAGCATATAGATATTTTCACATGCTCAACGGAAATGTTTCGTGGTTTTTTATACAAGACACTTTTCAAATAATAATTTGTCACCTCAGTCACATTATAATATCATTGCTGACCATACTTTGACAATTATATAATACGTTCTGTACAGCTGCAGGTCTCCTAGCGTCTTAATCATCTATCTCAAGAGGTAATCTGTGAAAAGCACTGTGGGCTGCATTATTGCGTATATTAATGTTACTGTACTATCTGTATGTAATATATATAATGTAGCTGTTAGCTGTTCCACTTTGAATAAATAAAATAAAATAAAAACGTAGATAATCTTTGACTTGAGGAAAGAAGATGTGATACGAACGCAGAAATTAAGTGGCTACCTCACCAGCTATACGACAAACGATGTAATTATATCATTCGATAATGCTGAACCAAAATCTAACTGGCTGTTAATGTGGAGCAGCACTATCCATCTTTGAAATTCGGGATCAGCTTATTTATATTAAGCAATCCAACGGATATGTACCTTCCCCAGGGTTGAGCGAAAGCACTATAAACGCGAAACATAAGAATCGGGTTGACAATTGCAGAATAGTCTGCAACCTCCATCTTCATTTTGTAATTTTACATTTGACATTTTTTCGTTTTAAAAAAGTTTATTGGTGGAAATTTTGTATTGTGAGGGTGTTACCACACCGATCGATCGATCGTCGATCGATGCCATTGATCGACATGGATGGATGTCGATCGATTGATACTTGTCGATAAAACGTTGTCCAATCATCGATCGACGCCGATCGGATCGATTTGTGTGTAACACCCGAAGGAGCTTATATCAAGCAGTGGATTAAAAGGCTGATAAAACAGTCGCGTTGAACCCTCACTTTATCGCCGTCTTAGAAACACATTTATTTGAATTTTTTTATAGTCCAAGTCAGATGGGATCTCGCAAGTGCAAACAACTTTTAAAATAAAGGCTACAGAAGCCCTGTCAACTCTGAAGACTAAGATAGGATGTCTCACAGCGTTATATTATTAGTTTACCAGGCCTGTGTCACTCCGCACTTTAGGCTTGAAAATATATATACGCGGCGCGGCTCCCTATAGGGGGCTAATCCCAAGAGGCTGTCACGCGCACTTACACGCGCACACGCATAGATACACACACACACACACACATTTGCTTTTCGTATATATATAATGTTATTTCATCAAGTATCAATTCTTGATCGTCAAAATCGTGTCTAAAATAAGATATTTATTTCGTACGTATTATGATTGAAGCACGAATGGTTCGACTCGGCCAGGGAAGGACAACACTCCTCACAGATTACTAGCGTAAAATAATAGCTTAATGCTGCTATGTTTAGTATGGTGAGTGTATAGAATCGGAGACCCTTTTTAAGATACGAGGCATTCTATCTTAGTGCTCAGGTGTGATAACGCATTTGAATTTTGATTCTTAATTGAGGATGGATGCGATGTTCATGAGCCACAGAATTTACTTACCAACAGGTGGACTGTGTGCTCGTTTGTCACCTTTATCCTTTAAATGATCTTATTGTTTTTGCTAATTTGTTAAGAGTTAACATATTTTTGTAACATACTATTACACTTACCGGTCCATCCTTTATTCTTTGCAATATGTTCACTGAGTCTAACGACCAAGGGCACATATTTGCTTGACAGATAACTTTTTTCGTTCGCATCTAACTCGGATTCATCCATGGTTAAACGTAACGTCTGAAATACAAAGCAATCGGATATTGATACAATCATTAATATATTATTATTATGTTATTTGCACGCACTATTACTATTGTGATTAGATATTTGAATTTGCTATTTTAGTAGTGTCTTAAGACTTGATCAGTTTTGCCTCCAAATGAATATACCTAAATTTTTGTTCATCATAGGTGTTTATTTGGCTACAAGACCACTTTTATAAAATAGTTTTATTTGGCTCAAAAACATATTTTAATTGACATAGCTAATAATTATTCTATTTATGCTTTTTTATTACATATTTTGAATAAAATTAGAGGGTGGTTTTCAAATTTATCCTAAAACGCAGTGCAATCAAATTAAAGAATGTGACCTTAAAGAATAAATCTCCAAGATTATGATGTTTTACTATCTAAATTAAATCTTTGGATTAGACTATAATAATAATAATAATAATCTCTTTTTATTTCATTAAGCATTTCACAATTTGCATAAGGTAGGGAGCGTTTTTTAAGCACCTTAAGGCACCTGTGTCAGAGACGCCCGCTCTTCTATAGCTATACAAAACTTTCTAGAAACATAAAATTACATATTATACTAAAAAGAAAACAAAAAAAAAATGGTTTAAAATTATTCAACAATAAATGTGTGTGTGTGTGTGTGTGTATGCGCGTGCGTGCGTGTGTGTGTGTGTGTGTATGTGTGTGTGTTTTTTGTGTGAAATATTATTTTCACCTTATGTGTTGAAACATAAAAGTTTGTCTGTGCTTTCGTAAGACAGGGTTTTCAGCCAATTTATAATTAATAACTTGCAGTCCTTGGTATTTCTACAGTAAATATTAAGATTTTTGTATTTTGTACTATGTATGTGGTTTGACTATTTTACCTCGAATGCAGGGTATATCGAAATAAAGACAAGACTCGAAGAGCGTCTTATTGTCTGATGGTGGTCCGGTATATATAACATTGTCACATAGAGACTAAAGTTAACCAGAAGCGAGAAACAATTAGTTTTTCCCCACAATTTTTATAGCATTTTGATTTTGCATGCAATTCTGCATATTCTTAATCGAGGATAGATGTAGGTGTCATTGCGTCGCAACATCCACTTACTATCAGGAGTTACACACAGTCGTGTGATCGTTTGTCTCCCTTATTCTATATAAAACAAGTGATAAAATTAAAAATTTTGTACAACTGACTTTAATATAAATTATTAAGTATAACTCATAAACTAATGGTTAGAGCCTGATCTAATTTATATGGGACCACATGAGAAGCACCAGCTTTCAAATAAAAAAAGAATAATCGAAATCGGTTCACCGAGAAAAATGAGGTAAAAAATATAGTAAATGTAGTCCAGCTATGGACATGATGGTTTAAATTGTCTTGTAGTACGTTACCTTTCTAAGTACAGCATACTGCCGGCCGCCGGTTTGAGCACGAAGCAAGCCGCATTTCTCTAGATTACAGAGGGTCAGCCATGTTTTGAGACCGTACACTTGCACAATTTCCCGTTTATAGTATTCAAGGAGCTTCGGTTTGAAGCCGGAGCCAGTAACACATTGTAGGCATATTAGCCTAAGAATCTGCAAGAAAAAGTCCCCCATTTTATATGGATTTAGTGACGTTTATACGTGGTGGAGCAGTGCTGCAATTATATTATATAGTTGCAGCACGAATGGGTCGGCTCGACCGGGGTACGCACGCACCAGGTACGCACCACGTTCTCACAGAATACCTGCCTAAAATAGCAACTTAACGCTGCTGTGTTTCTGTATGGTGAGAGTAGAGAACCGGAGGCCATTTTTAGTGTAAACGATGCATTCCATCTTAGTGCTCACGGGTGACAATGCATCTGCATTTTGATACGTAATCGGGGGCAGATGTAGATGTCTACGGGCCATAGCAACCACTTACCATCAGTTGTCAGTTTGTTACTCTTATCCTATAAAAAAAGTTCTCCTCGATATCTGACAATTATATGATGACCAACATATCAGAACACAGTATATGTTTTTTTAAATGAGTAATGCACAATGCATGTCATATGCTGAAACCAACAAGGAAAGAAAGACGGAGCGCTGCGTAATTTCAAGTGACGCAAAAACCAAGCCAAAACCATGCTTAACTTATGGTAAAAACACGTGCTCACGTACACATATGCATCTAAAATCATTTGTAACCATCATCATTTTAACGTGGTAGAGGCATGCTGCAGCTATATTAGTAGTATAGTTGTGGCACGATTGGGCCGGCTCGACCGGGGAAGGACCACGCTCTCACAGAATACCAGCGTAAAATGGCAGCTTGACACTGCTGTGTTTCGTATGGTGAGTGTAGAGAACTGGAGACCCCTTTTACTGGATAAGAGGCATTCCATCTTAGACCTCACGGGTGACGACGCATCTGCATTTTGATTCTTTATTGAGGATAAATGTAGATGTCTATGAGTCACAGCAACTACTTACCATCAGGCGGACTGTGCGCTCGTTTGTAACTCTATCCTATAAAAAAACCAATATGGTTTAAGATGCATATGTTAAATCAAGCATATATAAGTACAGGATCTTTCAGATACATCTTATTGAAAACTTTAACGACACATTTAATGCACTTGGTAGAGCCAAGCCGCAGCGGCGCGAATGAGTCGGTTCGACCGGGGAGCGACCACGCTTTCACAGAATACATGCGTGAAACAGCAGCAATAATGCCGCTGTATTTCGTATGGTGAGTGTTGAACCGGAAACCCGTTTAACAACGTTTTTTATTAAATTACTTTCTTGTTTGTCTTTTGACAACACTAGAGCCAAAACACACTGTTTGAAATGCAATTTTCGTGGTTAAACCAACACAACATATTAGGATTAGGCGACTTAGATCATTCTAATTTTAGATTATATAAAGCTTTTAAGATGGGTACTAAGGTTAGTAGTTTTTAGCTGTATAATGGCGGCGTTAGAGAGTCCACTAACCCATGTCATCCCGTGGATATCGTAAGAGGCGACAGAAGAAAACTGATACAAGAAATGTGCAGCAGCATCTTCCTATATCAAAATAATATAAAACTTGTGGTTACTAATCCGCCGTCAATGTATCAATTATGGCTAAATTCTCCCTTTGAAGCAATCTATGGAGTATGCCTGTATTCAGCTGTAGACTTTGGGCTATGATGCATGGATGAATGGATGGGGAACTTCTGCAGTGATTACCTTAGTGAGAGGAGCCTTCTGTGCGATGAGGTCTTCGATGAAAGGGCACGCTTTTTCGTTGTCCACGCAATTCAGAAAGTCTTCTTCACATTGTATCGTATCATGGAATTCGAAGGAATCTGTCGTCTGAAAGAAGCTTGTACGTTTTTATAAGAAGGATATTATAAACTTTTTATATCATAAACACTATAGCTATAGTTTTAAAGATATTGAGTTGGTTTGTAACATATGTCCCGTTTCTACGACCTACGAGTAGTTGTATAATTTGGAGACGTCGTTAGATATTCAAAGAAAAGTTTGTTGTAGAAGAAGTAATTTTGAAACGATTGTATTTAACAAAACGGACTTCGTAACGGTGAACAAAATGCTTCTTGTAAGACCAAGTTCCTCTTTAAGGCCGGCCCCATACATTCGGGATTCCGCGGGTCGGCCACACACATACGGAATCCCGTTTTGCCCGCAAAATATGGAACGGAATTCTACCGTACGTATGTGACGGGTCATAGATTTTATATGGACTTGCTGCGTTCGGAATTCCGAATCGGAATATCGAAACGGAATTCCGTATGTATATGGCGGGCCTTAATAAGAGTAAAGGTAAGATTTTGAGACCAAGTATACCACCATATCAGATGAGATAGCAACGCATAATGTGAAACCAATTTCCATCGTCACGCTTCCTTCGTGCATTGTTTCCTCTTTTATTTTAAAATTTAAATTGTAATCCTTATTTGTATTTATTTGGCGGTTTCTAGTCTATTGTGTAACCTCGATATGGATGAGCGGTGCTTCCTAACACAAGCAAGATTATTTGCTTAAAAGGAAGCTCCAAGTACTTAAAATTGTATTAGGCTTAGTTACCGTAATAAATTATTTTGTATTTTTGTATTTTTTTTTGTTTCCGATGTTTGTCGGTATTTTGGCGCGCGTCAAAAAAAAGTAATAGCGTAGTTTGTTTTTAAAGAAATCGTAAGTTTCTTTACCCTATCACAATGGATACTCGATATCCACCTTATTATTATTTTTTACATTGAATATATTAAAATTTATAGATACCAATTTTTTGCGACTGTTTTTGCCTTATGCTAACGAAGAAGAACACCGTGAGCAAAATTGTTTGTCTGAGGACTTAAAAATGTTTCGAGGACATGAAACTGGAGCAGCATGGTAAAAAAAATCTGGTCTAAAATCCTTCTTTTTTCCATCTTTTAAAATGAACTTTTGATGTATGAAGGTTTTACAAATTTTATTAAGGTCCAAGTAGGAAGTTATCGTAATGGGTCCGATTTTCCTATGTTCAAATTTTGACATATCTCAACATTGTTCAGGTCTTTGCATGCTTGAGTGCGAGCGTAATTGCGTGCGAGCATGCGTGTGCTTGCGCACGCGCGCGTGTGTGTGTGTCGTACTGGTTTTATTCGAAGCACAGTTATAATTAATCGAATTACAGATTTTTTCTACGATTTAAACAAAATTGATCGTTTTTGATTGAATTAATTAATTAAACTAAACTTTTTTTTTCGGATTTTGTCGCGTATAACATTTTACTTATTTTTAATTACCGACGTTTCAGGTGCTTTGCAGCACCCATGGTCACGGGTAACTTGAAGTACCTTCAATTTTTTTTAAATTATTAATTTTGGTTTGATCTATGCAGAATGAGCTTACAGTGTCTTGAAGTATTGCAGTGGTATGCTTAGATTTAGTTTTAATTTTATTGATTACAGGATCTTAAGCAGGTGGTAGTAACTAGCCTCCTTCTTTTATTAAAAGACATCCTAACTTCAATAGCTTCTCGTATCATACTTCATAGGAATTGATGTTCTTTCGCGAGGATTTGTGGTCTATCAAATCTAATGTAATGGGCCGTCTAGGATATAATCACAAACTGCAGAATTCCCGGAGTGTTGGTATTTCACGTCAGCTACTTTACGTCTTTTACGCGGGTTTTTGTAGATATTTTTGATTGTCCTATATAAGAGACTACATTCACAATCAAGCTTGTACACTCCTGCATCAGTAGATGTTGTTGTAGTTAGTTTTATTCAATGTGTAGTGTTCGCGTAAATATAAGAAATCACTATTGTATAATGCCATACTAGCCGAATTCCACAATTCATAATCTATAGTATTTACTCATGCAGGTTCTGAATATGGTTAGAGCAATTTTATAATAGGTTAAAAATTTAACAGTATCCTATTTCATGTAAATTTTCATATGTTTGTGACATACTACTGAAAAGTTTCTAGTGTGGACTTCCCGTTGTCGCACTAATTTTTAGGTTATGATTTTATGTTTAGTCACGACGTCACCTCTTTAACATACTCTGCGATGGCCATGTGAGTGGCCAATGACTGCTTGTTAGCGAGCATCTGCGGAAGGCGGGAAACGAACTGTTTGATTTCTTGTACGGACTTGTCGTTGTGCCGCTCGTCCAGTTGCGTCTTGATAACGCGTGCTTTCTTCGACAGTGCTGCCCCAACCTGGTGCAAAGATAATTAATAAGAATTAGATGGTAGTTGCGATAGTTGTATTCTGGTGGTAATTATGTTGTTAAATGTACGGGAAAGGTAAATCGTGTGCTTGTTCTCTATAGTAATTTTTTATAGGATAAGGGTGACAAGCGAGCACACAGTCCACCTGATGGTATGTGGTTGCTGTGGCCCATAGAAATCTACATCTATCCACGTTTAAAAATGAGTAAGTACTGTAGGTTTTTATTTCCAATCTAAATAAATAAATAATTAAATTTTAAGTGTCCTCACGCTCATGCTCATCCTTGGTAGCTCAAGGTTTCGCCTTAAACAACTTTTTTACCACGTAATGGTGAAGGAATATATGGAAAGAAAAACAATGTGATGTTTTCTAAACTATAGTCTGTTCGGCTAGAGTTGATAAAAAGCAGGGTTCCTAAACTCATTATAAATTGCGGCCAACTAATTATTTCTAATTATTACTGAATGACAATATGGCCACCACGTCGGCTCGCCTACACGGCCTCGTACTTGGCAACACCTGCGAACCTCGTACCACATAACTGTGTGCTTGCGGCGATAAACGACACCCGTCGTACAGATAGCGATACTTAAACGACAGTCTCTATTGTGAGACGTTTTCATAATAATTATCAACTCTCGCCGCATAATAAGCTGTTACTTTACTTTTTTACTTATTACAAGATAGTGTTTAACCATAATAGCACCTGAAAATGGTAACATCTGGAAAACATTCCTATCTTTAAGAAGTAACATGTTTTAAAATAAATCCGTATGTATGTGTAGTAGCGGGTTGATTGGTTTGTATTTAAGGACTTTGAAGCCAATAGCCAAAAGCCAAACACATCAATGGGATATCTGGTGTATATTTAAAATGATGTTTAAATTAAAATTGTTATATGAGTTATTAGAAATCCGTCCAGACTTCGCACTGGTGATTTTTGGATCTCGACAACAGCGCCACCTAGCAGGTCCAAATTCAAATACACAGAAAAAATTTCATCAAAATTGGTTAAGCCGTTTTTGAGTTTTAGCGAGACTAACGGACAGCAGTTGATTTTTATTATATATCGCCTTTCTATACTATAATATGCATGTATTATACATATAAACCATCCTCTTGAATCATTCTGTCTATTGATGAAAAATCAAAATCCGTTGCGTAGTTTTAAAGATATAAAGGTACAGAGGGCGGGAAGCGACATAAAATTTTTAGTTTTATACTAAGTAGAGAGTTTTTTTTTAAGATAGGGTGACAAACGAGCACTCAGTCCAGCTGATGGTAAGTGGTTGCTGTGGCCCATAGACATCTACATCTATCCTCGTTTGCGAATCAAAATGCACATGCGTTGTCACCCGTGAGGACTAAGATGGAATGCCTCTTTTCCAGTGAAAATGGTCTCCGGTTCTCTATTCTCACCATACGAAACACAGCAGCTTTGAGTTGCTATTTTACGCAGGTATTCTGTGAGAGCGTGGTCCTACCCCAGTCGGGCCGACCCATTCGTGCTGTAACTATATAATATAACTGCATCAGTGTGGGTGTCGTAAAAGGCGACAGAGGGAAATTGAGGCAGAAAATAGGCAGTGGCATCTTTCTGATAACAGCACAATAAAAAATTGCGGTTGCCAATCCGCTCGACAAGCATGGCAACTATGGCAATATACCCCCCATGAGCAATGACAATAATAAACGGCCCCCAGTCCCGGCTACGGTGGCGACCATTGTAACGGCGAGGCAGGGGGTGCTAAGAATCTCCGGTGGAGATTCGGTTGCCACCTACGATGACTCGAACTGGCTACTTATAACGCACGCACCCTGAGGACAGACGAGAAGATCCTGCTGCTGAAAGAAGAGATAGACAAGTTGCGCTGGAATATTATAGGCTTATCCGAAGTCCGAAGAGAGGGGAAAGACACGGTAATCCTCAAATCCGGCAACTTGTTCAATCACCGCGAGGGCGACCACTTGTCCCAAGAAGGTGTCGGATTTATCGTCCACAAGTCTCTCGTTAACAACGTAGTAGAGATTGAGAGTGTGTCGACGAGGGTTGCGTACCTTATACTCAGAATCACGAAACGGTATTCGCTGAAGGTCATACAGGTTTACGCACCAACCTCGGCACATCCCGATGCGGAGGTGGAGAAAATGTATGAGGATATCTTTAGAGCCATGCATTCCTCCAAAACCCACTATACGGCGTTAATGGGAGACTTTAACGTAAAACTAGGCACAAGAGAGAGGTCTGCAGAAAGTAGGGGAATTTGGATTAGGGCAACGAAACCCAAGGGGCCAGCAGCTGGCCGACTTAATGGAGAAAGAGGGACTCTTTATGATGAACTCTTTCTTCTAGAAGCGACCCCACAGGAAGTGGACCTGGTCTCGAGCCCCGACGGTTCGACAAAAAATGAGATTAACTTCATTATGACGAAACGAACGAACGAACGGTTCAGTGATGTCTCAGTGATCGCGAGGGTGAAAACTGGTAGCGATCACCGGATGGTTAGAGGCACACTGTACCTAAACGTTAAGTTGGAGAGGTGTCGTCTAATGAAGTCAATGCTCCGTTCCCCTCGTGCTCTAATCCAAATTCCCAAAACCTTTCAGCTAGAGTTATAAAATCGTTTTCAGTGCCTAGAAGTTTTCAATGCAGTGGACGATATAAATGACAATATAAATGACAAGCTCGTGAAAACTGTCCTTGCGGTCGGAGCTAAGTTTTGCAAGACCCGCCTCAGGAGAACACAAAAACTCTCCGATCACACTCTTAATCTCATGTCTGTTACACGGGAAATGAAGCTGCAGTCTTCAGTAAATTTGATAGCATACAGGCAACTGAACAGACAGATCTCCAAATGCATGTGGCGGGACTTATGCAACTTTAACACTGCTCGTATTGAAGAAGCGATCGAGCGGAACCAGGACTCCAAAGTCTTTGCTACTTTGTCTTGCGTATGTGAACTATGAGAAAGCCATGATTGCGTCGAAATTTTGGCGGTGCTGCAGTCTCTCCAGCGGTGCCAAGTGGACAGTCGGTATATCGAAGTGCTGAAGTGTTTGTACAGTAGGGCTACGATGGCTATCCGAGTACAGAACCAGAGCACGAAACCTATCGAACTGCAGAGAGGTGTAAGACAGGATGACGTATATCCCCGAAACTCTTCATCGCTGCATTGGAAGACGGTTTAAAGCTACTGGACTGGAAAGAATACGGTATTGACGTCAATGGCGAGTACATCACTCACTTTCGATTTGCCGACGATATAGTCCTTATGGCAGAATCGCTGGAGGACCTAAGCAATATGCTCAATGACCTCAATAGTGTCTCACAACGGATAGGTTTTAATATGAACATAGACAAAACAAAAATCATGTTTAACGTCCATGTCACACTTAGGCCGGTAGTTGTTGGGAGCACTAAGCTCGAAGTTGTTGACGAATATGTTTACCTGGGACAAATAGTCCGACTAGGTAGGTAATCCAACTTCGACCGAGAGGTCAATCGACGGATTCAACTCGGCTGGGCAGCGTTCGGGAAACTTCTCGTCAGACATACCTTAAAACGAAATTGTACAACCAGTGCGTGTTGCCAGTGATGACTTACGGATCTGAGACGTGGTTCTTCACTGCTGGCCGTATGAGGAAGCTCAAGGTCGCTCAGCGAGCTATGGAGAGGGCTATGCCCGGCGTTTTTCTGCGTGATAAGACTTAAAAACGAGGATTTACGCAGTAGCACCAGAGTAACCGACATAGCCCAAAGAAGAAGTATGCTTAAGTGGCAATGGGCCGGCCATATAGCTCGAAGAACCGACAACCGATGGGGAAGAAAGGTTCTCGAGTGGCTGCCTCGTACTGGCAGGCGGAGTGTAGGGTGTCCCCCCGCTAGATAGAGTGACGACCTGGTAAGACATTCAGGAAGTCAATGGATGCAGGTGGCTCGGGACCGTGCATTGTGGCATTCCTTGGGGGAGGCCCATGTTCAGCAGTGGACTTGTGAAGGGCTGTAATGATGATAATGATGAAATATTTACATACAGCCTTTTCTGTTTCTTACTTAGATATGTGCTAGCTGCTAAGCGGCACACCTGATGTTTAGTGACTATCACCGCCCATGAGTAGGTAACTGCAACACTAAAGGAATTGCAAGTTGTTGGCCTTTTAAAAAGGAGTGGTCTGTTTTCTTGAAGGTCCCTAAGTCTTATCGGTCCGGCAAATTGCTGGCGGTAGCCCATGCTCTAAAGAAGTGTCGCCCTTGGCACATTCAATCGTTGAATTTTATGTATAAATATAATTAAAATGGCAAGACATAAATTTATAATTAAACGAAATTGCTGAAAGTGAGTGAAAAATATACAAGGTTTAAGATAAGATCATTTTCGTAACTAAAGCAAGCCTGCAAAATGTTTGGTAACAAATTAATGTTCAGTAATTTGTACTCATAATGTTTCAGTAAAATTAACGAGCGCTGGCATTGAGAAAGGCAAACATTAATTTGAAATATAAGCTTTATCTTTATTGGACTCAAAACAATGGAATTAAAGCTTTTTTATGTAACAGATAAAACTCATTTAACATAACTTTTCTGCGGTTGAAATACCCGCACATAATAATACAACAAAACCAGATAAGAGCTATCGTGTAATATAAAACAGTCGAAAGGAATAATTTAATTGCACGACTCGTTGACATAGGCAAATCTATAACACGAAATTATATAACGAATCTAAATAATTTTACAAGATGTAAAAGCGAATAAATAATTATTTACTACACCAATAAAGTGGAAGAGAGAAATAGAACTAGATAAGGTTATTTGCATAGAAGTAAATATGATAAAAGAGCATACAGTTAACGATCGCGTTAGTGGATGTTGTGTCCCATAGACACCTACATCTATCTTTAATTACGAATCTTGTGTGTGTGCTGATTGTAAGCTGATTTGAGAATGGTTTAGATTCACAATTGGACCCGGTAGGTGGCGCCATTGTCGAGATCCAGAAATCACCCGGGCGAAGCCGGGACGGATCGCTAGTTATATATATACTGCTAGTTACATAAAATTTTCTCCTGCAAAATTGCATTACGTCATAAGCAAGAGTGCTACCAGGTCTGGGCTTATGCATCAACGTCTCGGGATGCAAATACCAGCGCTTTTAAAAAGAAGTATAATTCCGCCTCCAGGTCCTTCAAAAGTGTCACTGTCAAGGCAAAGTCGGAGCACATCGGCAGAATTTTCGAGAAACTAGTTAGTCTTCCTTCGGGAACACGTGCATTCTGGTCTCTTGCCAAGGTTATTGGAGAGCCTTCTTCTGTCAGCCATCTCTTCCATCTCTGCACAGGGAGGACGACTCACTGGCCCATGCCGCAAAAGACAAAGCGGATCTGATGGGCTCCATGCGTCCAACTCGACCCTTGATGACGGGGAGAGCACATCGCCGACCATCCTGCGGTGTAAGTGCTCCATGCAGGATGTGCTGTTTACCCAACGCTCAGTGCACAGAGCACTCCTCTCCGCGGACGTCAACAAGTCGAGTGGGCCTGATGGCGTCCCTCCTATTGTGCTGAAGACGTGTGCTCCGGAGTTGGCACCGGTTTTAATGCGTCTTTTCCGGTACTCCTACTCCCTAGGCGTAATGCCGAAATCATGGAAGACAGCTTTCATGCACCCGATCCCTAAAAAAGGTAACCGCTCTGATCCGTCCATCGCCATCACCTCCTTGTTCTCTAAAATAATGGAGTCCATTATTAACAGCCAGCTCATGCGGTACCTTGAGGATCACCAGCTAATTACTTACCGTCAGTACGGTTTCCGTCGCGGTCGCTCGGCTGGTGATCTTCTGGGTTACCTAACTCATAAATGGAACGCGGAGGCAGTAGAGTCCAAGGGGGAGGCGTTGGCCGTTAGTTTGGACATAGCAAAGGCTTTCGATCGGGTTTGGCACAAAGCGATTCTTTCGAAACATCCTTCCTATGGGCTTACCAAGAAATTGTGACATTGGATTACCAGCTGTCTTGCAGATCGGAGCATCAAGGTCGTAGTAGACGGTGCATGCTCCGATTACAAGCGCTTTAACAACGGTGTTCCACAAGGCTGCGTGCTATCGCCAAGGCTGTTACTTCTGCATATCAATGACATGTTGCAAACCGGTATCATTCATTGCTATGCGGATGACAGCACTGGTGATTCTTTATACACTGGTCGTGCCAATATTTCTTGGGAAAACGTCGCCGAGTACCGGGACAAACTTGTGTCTGAAGTCGAGACTTTGTTGAAAAAAGTCTCGGACTGGGGGCGATTAAATCTAGTTTGCGTGTTTACCGCTAAAAAGAACCTTTCGTGGTATGTCCTCAGTTCCAAGACACCGTTGTTGCCTCAGCCAGTATCGGAATCGTCGGCGTCTACATATCGAGTGACGTGCAGTTTCGTGGTCACTCGGAAGAAAAGACCAAATTGGCCTCTAAAAGGCTTGGCGTGCTGAGCAGAGCGGGACAGTATTTCATACCGGCACACCGCCTGCAACTTTACAAGGCGCAGGTTGGGCTACACATGGAATACTGTTCCCATGATGGGTTGGGGTTCCCCAGTGCCAGCACCTTCCATTTGATCGCATCCAGCGCAGAGTTGTTCGAATCGTCGGCGACGGAACTCTTTTCGATCGGTTTGACTCACTAGCACTGCGAAGAGATGTTGCATTTCTTTGCGTATTTTATCGCATTTACCACGGGGAGTGATCTGAGGAAGTGTACACAATTTCGTATTCGCAAATCGCGACAAAACTCACGATACCATCCATACCATCTGGATGACTGCGGTCCACTACTGTGCGATTTAAAGGAAGTTTTCTTCCGCGCACACCTTCCTTGTGGAATCGACTACCACCAGAGATTTTTCCGGACCGATACGATTTAGGGACCTTCAAGAAAAGAGCGTACTCCCTTTTAATAGGCCGGCAACGCATCTGCAATTCTCCTGGTGTTGCAGTTGTTCATGGGCGGCGGTAATCACTTACTATCAGGTGAGCCGTATGCTCATGCCCCTTTCCTATAAAAAAAATATTATGGTTGTTCGCGCCAAATACTGGTTGTCGGAATCGACGTCTAGGGGGCGCGCGGCTCTGGGCGATACCGGTTTGAAGTTCGGCCGAGCGTGGCAAGTGGCGCGCGGGTCGCGAGCGAAAAGGCGTAGTCGTCTGCTAGCTGTGCTAATGTCTGCACGCTGTCAATTTTTGTGCGGGAACCGCGGTATAGTTAGGGCGTCTAGTAAATATCCTGTCTAGGATTTATAACGCGCATTCCTTGTTGGATAGCCTTTCCCGGGACTTATTGGGTCCGACTCAGAATCTGTATAAGTGCATTCGACAATATTAGCTAGTGTGGCCTCTGATATTCTAGAACTAATTGTTGCTACGCGAAACGGTAGTGACCTTTGATCCAGAAACTCCGTGTGCGTTTTGTGCGTTAACCTTATACCCAACGATAGTTGGTGGCTTCTGTAAGTTAGTTAATCGTACGATAGAGTTAATTGACTGTCATCGTGGCGAACGAGGAAAGTGACTGTGGTCCGGCGCCGAAGCAGTCTGAAGCGGTGCAGCATTTTGGAGCAGCCTGGAACTCGGCCGCGGCCGGTCACCTATGCGTGACAAGGCCCCACACATTCACACCTCACTGTACACTACTCGCCATCCACTATTACACACACTCACGGCCTGCCCAAGCCTTGGTGCGAAGTTAGCTTCGGATAATGGTAAGTACTATGTCTTTCTAGCGTCCTCCCATCTGGTTTATTGTAATTAGGAATTTCCACGTGGCCATATTCTGGCCCCGTCCCTCTGCTGCTCGTCGATGGGATTACTCATGGGCCCTAATCCCGTCAAGCCTTGGTTGGGGCAGCTAGGGGCGTGTACAATGGTTGTAGCACGAATGGGTCGGTTCGACCGGGGTAGGACCACGCTCTCACTGAATACCTGCATAAAATAGCAACTTAACGCTGCTGTGTTTCGTATGGTGAGTGTAGAGAACCGGAGACCATTTTCACTGGAAACGAGGCATTCCGTCTTAGTCCTTACGGGTGACAACGCATCTGCATTTTGATTCTTAATCGATAATGTAGATGTCTATGGGCTACAGCATCACTTACCATCAAGTTAACTGTGTGCTCATTTGTCACCCTTATTCTATATAAAAAACGTTTTCTATAGCGTAAACAATATAAAGTCATTTTGGCTAACCCAGCAGATCTCCCCGAAGAATGAACATACAACGAATACTTACGGCAGTGAAGTTACAATCGCGAAGTTCAGCGAACAATTCTTCACTAGAGTTAAGTATGACTCGCTTCTTCTCGCGGGCTGTCACTTCAGGGCTGGCGTCATCCGCACTCACGAACTTTTCACCCGGGAAAGTCGCAGTTGAATTTTTTATACCGAATAGCTCATCTAGGTAAAAAAATAACACTTTAAAATTCTTATTAACACGTAAACAGTTGACGGTAGGACGTCTTTTTCCTGTAGAGAGGATGTACCGTAATCACAGTACCAGTACTCGTTTTTGGTGCCACCTCCCATCGCCATTCCGGTTATTTTACACTTGCCGATTATTATACTCCAGGTTCTTGCAAAATACAAAGAGACATTCCTCGATGTTTCGTGGATACAGGGACGCGTCAAAAAAGCAAGTTCCCTAAAAATAATGTTAAGTAATGTTTATGTTTTATATAGGTTGTTACAAAAAATAGTGTCAAGCGGAAGTCCAGAGCTAGTGCATCCCTTGGGGTACCCGAATCACTCCCATGTATGTTCCGCGACTTTTAATAGTTTTCAAGTAATGATATTTTTTTTCTGAATTTTTGAGAATTTTCGAACTGAACAACTTAAAAGAATTCAAATATAAAGTAGAAGGCTTTTGCGAGATTTTTTTTGCAACTGATTCGTCATAAGCTGCACTTTTATGCTTAAAATAATCAGCTGCGTAACTTACATGAAAATTATGAGAATAAGAAATCGGAATATTGCTATCTCTCTCACGAGGGGCGCAACCGAAAAAATCGCGGAACATACATGGGTTAATTCGGGTACCCCAAGGTGTGCTCTATCTCTGGACTTCCACTTGACACTAGTTTTTGGGACAACCTTTATATATTTTTAAGTTATGCAATAGCGGCTTAATACGAAAAACCATTTAAAGTTTAAACCATAAGTCTACAAAAAGTAACAACAATTACTATCACAGCGTATCAAAAGTTCACCGCTGAACATAGGCTTCCCCCATAGATTGCCTCGTAGAGTGGATTTTTGTCATAGTTCAGTTTTTCAGTTTTTTTTTTATTTTTATTCAGCTGTTATCAAGATGACGCTTCTGTTCATCTCCTGGTTCATCTTCTATCTGTTGCCTCTTACGACACCCGCAAAATGATATGGGGTAGTGGATATTCTTACACCGCTACTGCCTAGTGTGTCTAGTGGTGTTAATTACTCAATTCGTTATATAAGCTAATATAATTATTTCATTCCAGCCATCCATAGCAGCATATCAAAATTCCATTGATGAACATACGCCTCCCCCATAGATTGCCTCATAGGTGGGACATTAGCTATAGTTACTACACTAAGCAGTAGGATTGGCAACCGCGCAGTTTTTTCTTATTACTTTGAATCGTTATCAGAAAAATGCTGCTGCTCATCTCCTATTTCATTTCCTTCTTTCGCTTTTTCGACACCTCCAGGATGATATGGGTAGCGTATTATATGACGTCGCCACTAGACGGCAAGTGTAATCGTTATTTTTAAATAAATTAAAAAATAATTCTAAAACTAAACTTATTAGTAAGCATACGAGGGCGACACTGAAAGTTTTTAGAACTGGTCACTTGTAAACGATATAATAAAAAAATAAATACAAATTTTGAAAATGGAACTCTTTGCCAATATTACTGTGTATGTATTTTATTAATTTGTCATTTGTTTACGATTTGGCGGCAAATTGAAAATTGTCTGTGTCAAATCAGCATGAAGGTAACGCGAGAAAATTTTCATACAATTATTTTTTATGACTTTCGATGTCATATAAGTCAACAAGAAAGTTATGATAGACTTCGATTGGCCTTTCACTTTCACGATGAAGCCCACTGTTTATAACTGGCTTAAAGAGTTTAAACGTGGTCGTACTAATCTCACTGATAATCTGCGTGAGGGACGGCCTTCTACGACGACGACTGACTAGATAACATCAGTGTTGTGCGGCGTATGATAGAGTCTGACAAAAGAGTGACTTATCAGTCGATTCGGACAAGATTAAGCGTTGGTATGAGTCAAGTGCACAAAATCCACCACGAACATTTAGCGGCCAGGAAGCTTTGTGCCCGCTGGATACCTCATAATTTGACAGAGGCCCAAAAATTCCGTCGTATTGATTGGTGTCGTGAAATGGTTCAAAGATTTAACGGAATTGACTCAAATGCTGTGTTCGACATACTTACGGGTGACGAAAACTGGATTTATTGTTATGATCCCGAAACTAAGATACAGTCTGCTGTCTGGGTGTTTCCTTCCAAGGAGTTGCCAACTAAAGTGAACAGAGATCGAAGCGTGGGAAAAAAGATGGTGGCCTCGTTCTTCGGAAGGACAGGTCATTACGCATAAATTATTTTAGAGGATCGAAAAACAGTTACTGCAGAGTGGTCCACTAACATTTGCTTGCCACTTGTCTTGGAAAAAGTTCGGGAGAAACGACCTCGCAGTGGGATTCTCCTTCATCGCGACAACGGCTCCTCGCACACCGCTAAGCAAACAATCGACTACTTGGCGACATCAGACGTGGAATTACTGGGTCACCCGCCCTATAGGCGATTTTTATTTATTTCCGAAAATAAAAGAAAAACTTCAAAGAAAACGTTTTATGGACGCCGAGGAAGCAGTGGCTGCGTTTCAAAATGTCGTCGAAGAGACCCCTAAGGACGAGTGGGTAAAGTGCTTTTCTCAGTAGTTCCATCGGATGCAGCGATGTATTGATGTAAATGGACACTATTTTGAAAATATATAATGAAACTAATAACTTGCTAGTTTGTTCAGTTTTTGATTTCCTAAGAACTTTCAGTCTCACCTTCGTATAATGTAAACTCACGTCTTAAGTTTGAAATTCGTACTCTTATACTGTTTGCGCCAAACGCTAAAATTTAAAAACAACATAACGGGGCGCGTCGGCGCGCTCCTCCGATGTACCTGGCACCGGCTGGTACGCGGCTCGCGCGCGCCTCCCCGCTCACGCGCCGGACGCGTGGGAGGTCGGGCAGTTTTTTATTGTCGCCAGCGGCGGCAGGGTCGTAGTATGGCAGTAGCTTGAGTGCAGCGGCGCCGTCGTAACGTTAAAGTATTTTGTGGTGACCGCGGCAGCGATTTCGTGCGACCAGTTTTGGTTTAATGGTCTAGATTTTTAGTATTTGTGCGCGTCACTTCGCTACTTAATTTGTGGTTTCGTGAAGACCGCCTCGGATTAGTTTGTCTAAGTTGTAAGTTCGTGACAAGAGGCTTGTATTGTATTTGACTGATTAAAGTAATTTCGTTTGAAAGTAATTGCGTCAATTGTATAGTAGTGCAGTGAATCTACTCGGACCGCGTGGTCACGTACATAATAACCTCTGATTGTGTCGGCTTTGTTAGCAAATTTATGCAACGACGAGGAATTGTGGAGTCTAGAAAATTAGACGCCGGGGCGATTAATTGTTTGGAAGTTAATGTTTAATTGTACCGTCGCGTTAAGTGCCTTAGAAGGTCGCGTTCGGTTCTAGAAATAATTTGTTGCTGAGTGAAACGGAAGTGAAATTTTACCCACCGTTCATTAGTCGTGCCGTGTGTTACGTTTTTGATTATAATTAACGGGGATTTAGTTGAATTTGAAGTTAGTTAAATGTACAATAAAGTTGATAGACTGACATAGTGAATGGAAGAAAGAAATTGCCAATTGGTGACGTCCGCTGGAGTGAATTACATTGTGGGGCAGCATCGGACCAGGCCGCTGCCCGATCACCTCAGCTGGGTCAGGCCACATATATAAACACACCACTTACATACATTACACCTGCCGCCTGACCGAGCCTTGTGTCCAGTCTTCTCCTCTGAACAGGTACGTACTATTTATTTACCTAGCCTTATCTCTATCGTGTAGGTCAATTGTCCATAGGCCGTTGGGCCCCGTCCCCTGCTGCTCGTCGAATCTACAGCGGCCCCTGTAAGGTCGACCTTTGTTGGGGCAGCTAGGGGCGTGTACATATATATTAAAATTAAATTAAAAGAACTTGACGGGTTACCTATGAGACCCTCGTAAGTGAGTTGGGTGGCCATAACGCTGGTGAAATCGATAGCACGATCTATCAGCAACAACTGATCGATGCAAGACGTTGGCGAGCCTTTTGGTGGTGAGCCTTGGTCTTCTTTGTTTAAACGGCAAAGAAGATCCCATACCTGAAAAGGTGAACATTTTAATAACCTCATAAAACATTGACACAGTATACCTGTGATGGTAGGTGGCTACCGCTGCCCATGGATATCTACATTTTATCCTCGATTAAGAATCAAAATGTAGATGCCTTGTTGTCCCTGAGCACTAAGGTGGAATAGATGAAGTCTCCGGTTCTCTATACATAAATTGGTTTCTGTATTGCGCATATAAGATTAGGATTCAAACCTCAACCATACGGGTCCATATTGGGTACCACCATTGTGACATACCCATATGAATCTGTTTTGTCTCTACCAGTTTATCTAAATCCACTACTGGATAAAGGCATTTTAAACTGCAGCGAAAAAGCATGCGATCCTATTGCAATGGATGATTTACGCCCATGTTCATTACACTGGAAGGACGCGTCGGTGAGCGTAAAGCCGCAATACACTTGCACTTATGACGTTGCTCCTACCACATGAGTAAAGAAACTGTACAGAGGCAAAGCTTCTAAGGGGCTGTCAAAATGATTACCTATTTTAGTAGGGTTGGCACAGGAGGATAAAATAAATTAAACAAAACGTTTATCAGTATTTTAATAAATACTTAAGATATAATATTTTTTATAAACTACGTATTATAAATGTTTTACTTTTATAATTATTGTTCTTCAACAATTTGTTGTGGCTTTTAATTAAATAGTAAATTCTAAATTTAATGTGAAGTTTTTTTTTTAAATAATCTATTGGAAAGCACTCACATTTCATAACAAATATAAACTCTTGTACCTGCTTCAATAATTCACTACCAATATTTACAATATTTATTTCGAGGCCAAAATATATGCGAAATTTTTGCTGAAGCAATTCAACAAACGCGATAAAATTGTCAGGAAGTATTATAAAAAAAAACCGGATTGAACACTATCTTTATTAAAATCCTTGTAATCACTGAAAAAATAATCTTTCCCCATATTTATACGTTGCTAAGATCTATTAATGTACAGTTATATTTTCTCACATTTGTGGTGATGTATAAAAATACGACAATCACCTAGTTTCATAAGTAACATATTGAAATCTTATTCACAATTAGTATTTTGAGGTTTCCCTAAGTTATTGGTTATAAGCATTTTATTGAAGGCAATACTAACTAGACGACATGTTGGTTCCTGGCAGTTGCCACCCGCCTGTCTGAATTTTCCAAAGAAATTTTCGAAACAATCTTGATTGAGACGTCTCTTAAATATAAATTAATTTAATTTCTTCTGATTTTAATCTTTTATAAAACTTCATGAAGGAAGTTTTATTAAAGATTTTATAGACACTTGGAATCCGTGAATGAAATTCATGCTATTTGTTACGTTTTTATACCTTATACCTATCACTTCTTATTGATTTTGAGTTCCTGAAGAATGTTAGCATTTATTCTAAAAACTCAATTTGATAACTATCGCATCGAAAAGCTTTTTAGTAAATCATATTTACGCTTTTTTATACTTCATTTGATACGAATTATTCTTTGAAAAACAAAATTTGACACTTATTATTTTTTACACAACCCTGAGTTTGAGCACTGGCCGAGCCGGTTTAAAGCAGTTTCTCTCTGTACGTGACGAGTCACCAGTGCTCACGTACACACGCGCCTCAAGCTTGTAGTAGTGTATCTATCACAGCGCGGTTGTATGAAGCTTTACACTCTATATGGTACGGTTTCTTTACTCATGTGCTCTTACTCTTCACACTATAGTTTATGGGTGTCTGAAGAGACGACCATGGAAAATACCAGAAAGATTTCATAAGATCCGATAGTAGGCCGTTTAGCAATGCCGAATATTTTCAAAAGCCTATTCCACTGTTATATTAACATTACTAATATTCCTTCGAACTACTTCTCCTAAGCTGAAAATGCTTGTGTTAGGAGTGGTTCACGACAGTAGTCGAATGGTGGATTCGAACCCACGACCTTATGAATTCGCGAACCGCACCCTGCCACTATACTACTGTCGCTTCGTAAATTAATGAACATGCATAACTTGAAACTTTTCCTGTATTTTATCACTTTTTTATAGAATGAAGTGAAAAACAAGCACACAGTCTAGCTGCTGCGTAACGTAGTAAATGCCTAAGAGTTGATTCAAAAAGCATTTAAACATTAATGACTATGATACTACTATTTTGTACGTAGTAGAGCCACACTGCAGATATATCATTACTCTTATAGACAAGTACGGTAAAATTGCCGCTTAATTTGTCTGTGTTTCGTATATAACCGGAAATGTATTTTTATTAGTAATGAGGCATCCCATCTTAGTGTTCATTTTGATACTATAAAAAATTACAAACCTGTTTGGCAGCAGGCCCTTTACCGAAGACTCGGGGAATGATTCCATACAAATGTTGAATAGTACGTAATGCTTGCGCCGCATTGTAAAGGCACGTGGGATCGCCTTCTAAATAGTTCTCTCTAAAAGTGAAATAATAATGTCAGTTTTCAAAATGTTATGGATTTAAGAAATTTTATATACCAAAGACCGGACAGCTGTGAAGGACCACGTCTCAGATTCATAGGTCATCACTGGCAACACACACTGGTTGAACAATCTTGTTTTGAGGTTTTGAGGTATGCCTGACTAGATGGAGTGACAACATGGAAAGACACGCAGGAAGTCAATGGATGCAGGTGGCTCGGGACCGTCCTTTGTGGCATTCCTTGGGGGAGGCCTATGTTCAGCAGTGGATTTGCAAAGGGTTGTAATGATGATGATGATGATGATGATGAAAGATCGGACGTTGGTAGAATTATTGTGACCTAACCACAATACCAAGGGTCACATTTAATAAAAAGAAGTAATTTTACTTTTATTTTTCAATCATTATGATCATAAGGCTATAAAAGGCTAATGCAGGACATGAGCTCCTTCCATTGTAAGGAGAATTTGCCTTAATCGTCATCATCACTTTTAACACTACACTACTCGTTGCAGTTTGCTTATTTTACGTCTGGCGTATACTTGATGGTTATACTGGCATTTATTGAAAAATCTTTCTGGCGTTTCTCAAAACTGCCCCTTACAACGTCCACGGGACGAAGTGAGGTAATGGATACAGGAAAGTGCGAACAACGAGGCGCCTTTCCTTCTCGTCTTTTTTCAGCGATAGATTTTTACGGGCTGATGAAGTAGATGTATATGATAGATACATGTATGAAATGATTATATCACTATCCATCGGAACTATTACGAAACCCATGTGATGTTCTAGAATGACAGAATCTTCTACGATGGCGCCAAAGTTCCATGGTTGTTTATATTTTACCTGATTTGAAGAAAGTGTCAAGCGTTGGTACAGTTTAGAAGTATCTAATTTTTTTTTCATAAAACTGAAGTGAAACTCACACGAAATTATTGTCAACCTAATGGTATGTAGCTTCTGAAGTTCATGGACACCTGCAACCAACTTTATACAAAGATGCCACAGGTACCTTGTCACCCCCGATTCTAAGATAGGATGTTTCACAGCCTTTAACTGGCTCACTATATCGCTCAGATCAGAATACAGCTATGCAAATACTGCTTTTTGGCGACAGAAATAGGTAAGAGGGTGGTATCTACCTACACGGACTCCTAGACAGGTAACGAGTTCTACTACCTAGTTAATTTTGTACGCGGTAGAGGCATGTTGCAGCTATATTAGTAGTATAGTAGTGACACGAATGGGTCGGCCCGACCAGGGAAGAACCACACTCTCACAGAATACCAGCATAAAATAGCAGCTTAACACTGCTGTGTTCCGTATGGTGAGTGGTAGAGAACCGGTGACCCTTTTGACTGGAAAAGAGGTATTCCATCTTAGTCGTCATGGGTGAAAATGCATCTGCATTTTGATTCTTTATTGATAGATATAGATGTCTATGGGTCACAGCCACTTACCGTCAGGTGGACTGTGTGTTTATTTGTCATCCTATCCTATATGAAAATTTTACTTATCTACCAAAGTTTCATGGATGTCATTAAAATTGAAAACACGAAATAACAATCATTATGACTTCTGAATGATGGCAGAAAAACTATAATATTTAAAAAAGAGCTGTAATATCTATAATTGTGGAAGACTGGTGTTAAAAGTCAGACTGAAGTGATTTCAATTGTGTCACATGTCGGTATCTCACATCTGATATGTGTATTAGCAATGTTTTATAAAATATCTGCAATTTGTTAGATGTAAAATTGCAGACCAGTAATGAGCAGCACCGTCATACTCTAGTTTTTTTAATGTCTATTCTTATAACTTTTTTGACAAACTAGCACACAGCTCACATGATGGTAGTGGATGCTGCCCATAGATATCTACTTCTATCCTCGATTAAGAATCACAATGCAGATGCATTGTCACCCCTGAGGACTATGATGGAATGCCTTGTATCCAGTAAAAGGGGTCTCCGGTTCTCTACACCCACCATATGAAACACAGCAGCATTGAGCTGCTATTTTAGGTTGACATTCTGTGAGAGTGTAATCCTCCCATGGTTGATCCGACCTATTCATTCTACAACCATAATATTGCTGCAACATGGCTCTACCACATAAAAGACTATAACAACCATAGCATAATATCCTATACTCTAAGAAGCTTATGTACAGAAATTGATTGCAGAAGTATGAATTTTGATTATCAGCCACCTTCCAAACTTAAGATGCAAATTCGGGAATAAAATCCACTTAGTTAAATAAATATTTACACACCTAAAATCATTCTGTAGCTCCAAAGACATTACATCACTATCAAATGGAAATATATCACATTTGAACTCTTGAATGGACAAGTTTGAAAGAACACCTCGATCCTTTAAGTGTTTTTCACTTAATTCACTTTTTCTTGGTACAAAGAATAGGTGAAATTCCACTGGAACATTTTGTTTTGATCTGCAAATAAATATAATTACAAAAAAAACCCACTAATTATTATACCATACAATAACAGCAAGTAACTCTGCAGCAGTAGATGAGGAATTGAGTGACTTTGTAGAGAAGATTGGAGAGTTTGTAAAATATTGCTCCAAAGCTGTTGCAACATACTACTAACTGGGTCTAGAACAAAATTCACAAAAAATGTGAAAAATAAAAAACCTATAACATACTAATTTAAACCATATTTTTATTAACAAACTGCTCAATTTTACTTGCGTGTATATGAATTGTTCTTATCAACCTATTAACTTCAATGAGAAGGTGCATAATTTCACCTTATTAAGTTTATAGCAAAAAATGCATTAAATTATTTTTACAATTAATAAGAATTTAAATGAAATATTATGTATCTAATCAAAATATTACTTATACTTTAAAACGATTTAATATTAATGGTGCTTACAGAAAATATAATACACCATCCTCTTTTATCACTTTACTAAAGTTCTTGTTGTACATTTTCAGAATACAGTACGACATTTTGGACGTATATTAAGCCGGTACACAAAATGAAGACTGGTGTTCAATTGGAACTCTTTTTGCATTTTAGAACTCTTTTGGCTCGGACACTTTTGAACACGGACCCAAAGTCCGTTTAGTAGCAGGTCAATGGTAGTATGTTAAGGCTCATTTACACGGGGACAGTAACAGACGCCAGTGCTGGCGCCGACGACTGACTTGCACTGTATACACGCAGTTAGTAGTCACGCAGACAGTGCTGTACTGACTTCAAATTAATTGACATTATGCCAGTAGCTGGTCAGCACTTACTAGCCTCGAATTTGGAGCGAGTTACTGTCCTTGTGTAAATCAGCCATTAATGAAAGTGCTAGCATAAGCAAGTTGTAAATAATGTAATGGACCATTAATAATTATTTGTTTAAATTACAAACAATAATTGAGAAAATACTTGATTTTCCTTTATTATTCTTTTTCTAAATGATAAAACATGAGTAATAAATAAAATATAGAAATATAAAAGAGTAGGTAAACTGTAGAAAGACAACTCACCTTAGAGAAAGAATGTAATCGGCAACCAAATCCATAAGTACAAGTTTAGGTCGAGCAATGAACACTATGTGCTTGACAGATATAGTAGGCAGGCTGCCAGGTCGCAATGGAAACATGTCAGCCACTTCATGTTCTTTCAAAAGTGAATACTGCGCCACTAGACCCACTGGACCTGCCAGCCATTCATCCCATATTGTAACCTGAATATCAAATAATGGTGGTCTCATAGAAATCTGACATGATCTTCAGAAGCAGTAAAAAAGCTACTGGCAATAGCTTTTCTTCACAAATGAATGAATTAAAAGAGTTTATATACATTTTACTGAGTCTATGTTTGTATGAATCACTTCTAATTTGACTTTTAATGTGACATTAATTCAATGAATTAGCAAAGACAGGGAGACAGAATTTTTTTAAATTAAAATTGTAATGTATTTCTTAATAGCATCCAAAAAACCCCTAAGCTTAATAAAAGTCAGTTTTGATCAAGGATAGATGTAAGTGTCTATGGGCCACAGCATCCACTTACCATCAGGTGGACTGTGTTTGATTGTCACCCTTATTCAGTAAAAGAGATGGGGACTAGAGGTTCTTGAATGGCAGCTTTATATTGATAATCGATTAGTAAGACAGTTCTCCATTAGATGGAGTGACTACCTGGTAAGACAAGCCTCAAAATTAAAGCCAAATGCATTTGATGGATCCAGGTGGCTCGAATGTTGTGGTGTTTCATAGGAGAGACCTATGTTCAACAGTAAACTTGTGAAGGGTTGTCATGATGGTGATGGATGACGTAAAATTAAATATAATTAAATATTAGACAATACTATAAAAACTTACTTTTGGCCCTTCACATAGCTGTAAGAGATTTAATAGTTCTTTTCTCATACTTTCTTGCAGCAAAGCTACGTTTAATCTCCCTCCTGAGAGGTGTGTACTCATTTTTGTTTCCTTCATGATAATAGCAAGAAGCAGCAGTAAAGAATAATCAATTTCTTGTCATACAAATCGATAATTTACTTTTTAAACAAACAAGACAACACAACTAAACACCAAAACAGATTTATGACAGCGGTTATCATTATCAGCTGTCACTTGTCAGCTGTCAGTGTCAGCTACTTTTTTTATTAAGATTTTTAGCTTAGATACATGTTAAGTCATGTCCTCATTTCACTTAGGATCTTCGTTTTTATAAAGATTTTTAGTATGAAGTGATAATATTCCTTTGTAGTACACTGCTTCACAATATGTTGATGGTCATTTTGCGTAGGTTTTGGAAGATTTTGACGGCATATTGAGCCAGCAAACAGTTGGCGATAGTATCTCAAGGCGCCTAAGCAGACAGACACCATATCTTGAGATTCACATCACAATAGGAGCACTAGTATCACCGTTTCCACTAATAGTTTATATGGCATTTAATACACAAAATCACACTACTTGTACATATCAAAATTCACTTCAAACCATTATTCATACAATAATACAGGAGCAGCAACCCGCCGCCGGTCAAGCTCCCGCCAAAACTCCGAGTCATTTGCTGAACTGAACTACGAAAGTAAAAGGTTTAAATAGCACTTAGCCATCCTAATGTTTAAAATATTCGATAAGTAGATTTAACCTTCAACAGGTGTTGTTAAACGAGCGCTAAAGCCGAATATAATAAGCTCTTAGCAGTGTGGTAGCAGCGTAAGAATCTACTACGTCTTTATTCGTTCAATTGTTGGCTTGTACACGTTTGTCTCCCGGGGAGGGGAGTAGTATATTGCGGAAGCCCCATTAGCATCGCTGAATGGGTGTGGAGCGAAGGATGAAGTATAAGAAATAATGTACAATATAAGAAAAGATGTGTTATGTTTATGTGTAAATGAGATGAAACTAAATGGCAAGGTTGCCACTGCACATGAAATGTATACCGCTTACTGGTCTGATATAGATAATCTGTCTTGGACATCGCAGATCGACATTGCATCCGACGTGTGTGATTGCGTAATGCATAGTTTTTCATACAAAATCAAAAGTCCAGATATAATGCTTACCGATCATCTTAAAAAATTATCTTATCACACCACAGAAAATATTCTACGTCAAGGAATTAAATAATATATTTGTTTATCAGAATAGAATAGAATTAAATAAAATTACATAAAAATAATAATAATAGATATGCTAACGCTTTTAAGCACCTACAAATCACACATACACACACACAATCACACGCACACACACACACTCACACCCATACACACACGCGCGCACACACACACGCATACACACCTACTCTAAATCATAGGTAATCTTGCTCGGCTTATCTCAATATTTTATATTATTAGGAAGAGCGGTGCCTCCTGACACAGGTATTCTTTTATACTTACTAGGAGGCTCCAATTACTTTATTATTTAGTATGCCTTGAGAAAGAAATATTTTTTTTTAATTTTATTGCGTTGCATACGTTGCGTGCGTGGGACCAGTCTGAATGGCAGACACAGACTGGTTTATTTATTGTATCAGAGACTACACATGTATGGGCCGATCCTCGACTTGGACTGCGTATAATTTTTAGGGTGGATAAACGGAATAACCGAAAAGTAGTTTGTCCTGGGGGCTTACGCCCCAGACATGTCAAAGCCCACGTATATCCATGAGCAACATGGGGAGATTGTAAGAATAGTTTTAATAAAAGGGTAGGGGTAAAGAGTTCTTATTATGGATGGGTAATGGAAAAGTTAAAATTTTTTGGTAAGAATATAGTGTTAACTGCTTATGTCCTTCAGTGATTCTGTCAAAATGACTATGTTTCGTCGGCAAATCGAAGACGAGGGTTGTATTTAAATTTTTTTGTTGTTTTTTTTTTATAGAATAGGGTGACAAACGAGCACACAGTCCACATGATGATAAGTGGTTGCTGTAGCCCATAGACATCTACATCTATCCTCGTTTGCGAATCAAAATGCAGATGCGTTGTCACCCGTGAGGAATAAGATGGAATGCCTCCTTTCCAGTGAAAAGAGACTGGACTGAAGACCCGGTTTTCTATACTCACCATACGAAACACAGCAGTATTAAGCTGCTATTTTGCGCTGGTACTCTGTGAGAGCGTGGTCCTTCCTCGGTCGAGCCGACCCATTCGTGCTACAACTATACTACTCCTTTTAGTACTCCTTTTTCACCCAGGAGTCCGTCGAATTATGTACCACTATGATACCAGTTTCTGCGTCAAATAGCAGTGAAGTTCAGAAGTGTAAGAGCCAGTATCTACAGGCTGTGAGACATTCCATCTTAGCCCTCGGGTAAAAACGCATCTGTAGACCCATGAACCCATGGACTTCAGTAGTCATTTCAGTTTTATAAAAAAAATCGCTATTGAACTTGATATCGTATTCTTTCCAGTAACTTGAAGATGTCTTCCAATGGAGCGGTAAAGAGTTTTATGCAGTTTTTTATGTAGTTTTTTTTATGGAATAAACATGAAGAACGAGCACACAGTCCACCTGATGGTAAGTAGGTGCTGTGGCCCATAAACATATACATCTATTCTCAATTACGAATCAAAATGCAGATGCGTCAACACTTCTGAGGACTAAGATGGGATACCTCAAAGGGTCTTGGGTTCTCTTCACGAACCATACGAAACACAGCAGCACTGAGCTGCTATTTTATGCTGATATTCTGTGAGAGCATGGTCCTTTTTTGATCGAGCCGACACAATTGTGCTACAACCATAATATAGCAAGGATCTACCAACTAAGTTGGATCAAGACTACGAAGCCACCGTAAATTCGTTCTGTACTAGGATAACCATTGTAGCCTTACAGTAAAAATGAAGTGTTACACTTCGATATACCGATAGTTAATTTGACAACGCCCAAGGGACTGTAGCACTGCACACATTAAGATGGAATTAAAAGTTTATTAAATAATAAAAAAAAATATTTAGTAAAGTTCAAAAATTTACAGCTTAAATACGTCCATTTGGACAGGGCTGGACTTTGAATTTGGCTGGACACATGCCAATTCTTATTTCTGGAAGGGATATTATGGAGCAATTAGTTCTTTGTGTTTCTTTAGCTTCACATTCCTACAAAATATTTTTATTGCAGGGGTCTCTTCCGATTTTTTTCACCGATAAGCAAATGGCAAATCAGCACTTAACATTGCAATTATATGTTTACTTGGGACAAATAGTCCGACTAGGTAAGTCCAACTTCGACCGAGAGGTCAATCCACGGATTCAACTCGGCTGGGCAGCGTTCGGGAAACTACGACACATCTTCTCGTTAGACATACCTCAAAACCTGGAAACGAAATTGTACAACCATCCTTTTCTCTTATCACTGAATTGCCAACCCTAACATTTAGAGTCACCCCTAATATACTTACTGAATTTTTACAGTATTAATTTTACTCTCATCCTTCTTCTTTCTCATACAACTTTTACTATCATTCATTAAGTTATCGATTCAGGGTCTATTCCACATCTATCCACGTGGTATCAGCTGACGCCGAGTGAGTGTTACCACACTATTCATATTCAGCCGATTTAAGCCGATCGGCCCTCGTGACGCATATTACGTACCATGTACTCTGTGTTACGTACATTAGTTACCTCGCGGAATAGCATAACGTCGTGTATTCTGAGTAGCACAGACAGACTTTTTTACCATTGCTAGTTTCCCACTTACATTTGAAATCATCTAGTCGGGCTGCATGCAATAAGAAGACCCACCAAGGTAATTTTTAAAGCATGCTTATTGGAAGATTAAGATAGGCAGCAGAAGCGGAGCCGTTAGATATGGATTGATCTGCTATGGTAATACAGATCAACGGAAGGAGCCTGTATAATGATTGTTAAAAACATAAGCATGCCAACGTGGGTGTTTGGCTAGAGAAACTATCAGCGCCGTATGGATAGCTAAGCCGAATGACGTTGCTTAAATCCTGCCGGGGACATAAAGCATTTCCCGACCGGATCGCGTCGATAGATGTGCGGAGAGCCGCTTACAGGATTATGAATTGCCATCCGTTGCCTTGGACATATATATTATTTATGGTCATTTTCATTATAGACTTTTCAAACTTCAGCTGAATATAGACCTCATAGGTCGGATATTTGTACATACGGATACGCTGATCATACGGAATGGCAACCGCAGTTTTCTATTTGAGTTATTATTAAGAAGATACTGCTACCTACCTCCTGTTTTATTTTCTAGTTGTGTGTACTTTTTCTCTTGACTATAAATGGATAAATAATAATTAATAAATAAATAAAGACATGTTCGGAGAACTTATTTATTAAATCATTCAAAGCTGCAGACTATTTCCACCACTGAGGTAATCTCTTTTTCTTTAACTCTTTTTTTCCACAAATTAAACTAATTAAACAATATATAATCACAAGAACAAGATTTTATTAGGCCGGCTACATACAATTGGAATTCCGTTACGAAGAAAATATTTACAAAATTTCTCTGGATAGGCTCATAATTTAGCTCTTTTTACATAATATCGACTATCTTGCAATCTTAGGATGTTAAGGGAATATACAGTAACAACGATACAGCAACAATGCAATCCAATCACAAAATTGTCGTCCATATTCGCTGGCAGAATGTCTGGACTAGCGTCTCTCAACTGAGCCTTGTCATTCCGAAGGGAAATAAACGTATGTGTGTGGTATTTACGGAACATCGAAATGATATTCCGAAACGGCTTTTCGAAACGGAATTCCAAATTTATGTGTTCGGCCTTTAACTGGGCAATCCAGCATTAACTAATATATACTGACACGACATAACATAACATGTCTATGTCATCGCGGATTTAGTAATCTGTGGTCGCGGGTCAATCATGACGTAAGACGTTCAGTGCTGCCAACTTTTGGGCGCCCGCTTAATTCGGGGAAGAAAAGAAATTCCACTATTGACTTTCGAAATTTTTG